ATCACTCAGATGTAATAAACGTATTCAGGAGAAGAGGGGCAAATGCAGATTCGGATCACTAGAAAGTAGAATAAGAGCCAGAATCTCAAACAATAAAAAATAAAAGGTATCCAAAATTAAAAAATATGAAATAAAAAACTTAGCAGACAACAGCAAAAAGGCAAAATACAAAGAATATATAAAAGAAAGGCTAGAAAATAGACAAAAGCACGAAGATATAAATAGAGAATGGGAAGTGTGTAAAAACATCATACAAGGCGCGGCCAAAGAGACTCTGGGTCTACAAAAAAAGCCCAAATCAACTGAAGGACAGTGGTTCGATTAAGAGTGTTGTAATATAACAGAGAGGAAAAATAATGCTTATCAACGACTAAAACAATGACATAGAACACGAAAGGCAGAGGAGGAATATAGAATGCTAAGGAGGGAAGAGAAGAAAATACATCGCAGAAAGAAAAGAGAACACATAGAAAAAGAATTCCAAGAAATGGAAGAACTAAATAAACCATCAGAAAACAGAGATAATTCTACCAAAAATTTAACAAAAGTAGAAAATAATTTAAACCAAGAACAATGATGTGTAGAGACAGAGGAGATTTAGTAACTTAACAGAATTATTATTATTATTATTATTATTATTATATAACAAATAAGGGCAGAGGAGCGAGCTCCTAAAAGAATACTACAAATATGGACAGAATTCTTCAAAGCAAAGTTTAAAAAAAAACGAAGATCCACTATATGTGGATATACAGATACCAGAGAAACAACTCCCCCCTCCCCCCCTTCATTCAGTAGCTGAAATGCAAGAAGCAGTTACCAGACTGAAAAACAACAAGTCACCTGGATTAGACAACATTAGCGCAGAAATTAATAAAGGAAGGTGGAGACTCCCTATTGAACGCGATACACGAACTAATAGTGAACATATGGAATAATAAACAACTGCCACAAGACTGAAATACCGGACTAATTATTCCACTACATAAAAAGGGAGATCCGCTTCAATGCAAATTTTCGGACAGTAGCGCTACTGACTGTGACATATAAAATACTGTCGAATATTGTGTATGACCGATTGAGGCCATATGCGGAACACAAGACTGAAATACCGGACTAATTATTCCACTACATAAAAAGGGAGATCCGCTTCAATGCAAATTTTCGGACAGTAGCGCTACTGACTGTGACATATAAAATACTGTCGAATATTGTGTATGACCGATTGAGGCCATATGCGGAACAGATAGTTGGAGGATATCAATCTGGTTTCCGCAGGCAGAAGTCCAAAATAGATCAGATCTTCGTCTTGAGGCAAATCTTGGAAAAGACTAGTGAATTTAATATAGACACACATCATCTTGTCATTGACTTTGAGAGTGCCTATGATATCATCCATCGAGAGTATCTGATCCATGCACTTAAAGAGTTTAATATTCCAACTCAAATCATTGATATAGTAAAAGAAACACTTAAAGTACAAAGCAAAATTCGAATTCAAAACGAATTAACGGATACAATCCATGTGAAAACGGGCCTACGACAATGAGATGCCCTGTCCTGTATTCTATTCAACATCGCATTAGAGAAAATAATTAGGGAATTAAAAGTCAACACCAGAGGAACAATAATAACAAAAAGTGTACAAATACTGGCATTTGCAGATGATGTTGATTTCATAGCTAGAAGCGAAAGAGAAGCGATAGAAGCATTTAATGCGATAGAAAGAGCGGCACAAAACAGTGGCCTAAATATTAACGAAATAAAAATTAAATACATGAAGGACAATAAATCGACAGGCCAAAGAAACCTACAGAATCTGACAATATAAGACTATAACATCGAAAGCGTGAAAAGGTTTACATATCTTAGTTCAAGAATACATATCGCTAATAAAACATATAATGGGCTAATTAAATATCTAAGATCTAACAACATCACAAGAAAAACCAAATGCAAAATATACAAGACCCTGATAAAACTAGTCATTGTATATGGATCAGAGACGTGGACACTATTGAAAAGCGATGAGAACCTATTAGGTACATTTGAACGAAAAATCCTTAGACACATATATAAGGGGTAAAGGAAAATGACATATGGCGCAGAAGAAGAACTTTGAACTATACACAGCATACAATGAACCCGAGATCGTAACATCCATAAAGATCGGACGTCTGCGCTGGATGGGCCATGTTGAACGGATGTTGGAGACTGAAACGCCAAAACATATAATGAGGCAAACACCAGTAGGAAGAAGGTCAAAGGGAAGATCCAAACTTAGATACATGGAACAAGTGGAACAAGATCTGAAAACACTTAAGATTACCAACTGAAAACAAACCAAAGAACAGAACAAAATGGCCGAAAATCCTAGAACAAGCCAGGACCCAGAAAGGGTTAAAATTAATTCACTAATTAATGCAGAGTCATACAATTCAATTACTATTAAAAATTCTCAGGGTGCCTTTTTTTGTTAATTATTACTTTAACCAGTTTACTTTATATATCTCTTCTAATGGGTTCAGTATCTCCTAGTTGCTCATAATCGGGATAGAACAGGAAACGCGACTAACATTAAAACAACATAAATATGCACACAAATTATTATTTATTTTCAATAAGCAATACGATGAATATTAATAAATAACTTTTGTGGGCAATTATCTTTCCCAACAAACTCCTATACTCTAAATTTAATTTTAATTACAAACTATCTATTGATCTGTTTTATAATAATATCTACTAAAAATAAATGACCATATAAAAATATAACTTATTCACAAAAAAATAACTCTTTGAAACTTGGAATCTTAGTTCGTATGCTTATATTTGATTTTATCTTTAGAATATCTTAGAATTTTCTTTCATTCAAATTATTTGACTGACCTTTATTTTTACACCAATGATGTCTCCTCTCGATCAAACCACAGTTCCTTCCTTGATTGATTATGTCCGGCTACCATCAAGTCTTTCCCGTTCTCAGCATCGATCCAAACCGCATACCAGCAAACTACTCCTCCGAAAACACAAGCCCATGCCTCTTTTGACCGGTACTCTTTATTCAAAAATTCTCCTTTCTTTCTCAATTATATCTCGTGGACTATGCAAACTCAAAAGAGGTATTAATCTTCTCGATTTTGATCTGCTCTCAGCTTCCACCTTTTTCACTAACAAACGCCATATATATATATATATATATATATATATATATTATATATATATATATATATATATATATATATATATTATGAATTTCAAATTATGACTCTTTTTATGATGTTTTTTAAACTAATTTGCCTTAGGCTTAATTTTGCAATACAAATAAAGTTCTCTTAATTAATTTTTAATCTCAGGGCTTTTTTATGGTTAATTTTTCAACGTGGCTTCAAAGTAATATCTATACTATTGCCTTGGAGGCAAATATAGATAATGGGAAAATAAATGAAAATAAATAAATTTGTGATAATAAATTATTAAACAATTTTTAAAAATTAATTTCAATTTATGAAATCAAATAAACTTTAAATTAAACCAAACATATAACCTATGCTTTAATACATATAATTAATCTTAAAAATTGTCTAATGTTCATACACAAATTATAAATACCCATTATGACTTGTACTCAGAAAGATCTGTTGATTAAATTTTTGTATTGTTTATATTTATATATATTGATAATATGAAAGCGAATAGATGAACAAAATGTTGAAATAATTAAATTAGTTATGATATCGTTACGAGTGTGGTTGAAAGTCTTTTTTTATTGTATATCAGACTGACCTTTTATTTACACAATTTTTCTATTGGCTCCTTTTCTCTTGAAAATGAGCCAATAGAATAATTGTGTTGGACTGTGCCCTGACCATCTACTGCTCGTATTCTTGGATGCTTCACACACCCCTGTTCTCCTCAGCTGGTGAAAATCTCTCACGCACACTAACGCCGCTACAGTTTCTCCTAAACACCTCCTGAATAAACACATATCCCACAGGAATACACTTTTACAATACTTCTCTTGTATTGCGTTCTGTTACGTCTTTTCACATTGACCGGTGAATATCTTTATTTAATTTTTCCGTCAGCTGTCTTCTTTTACCTATTTGTCATTATCGCTATCTGATATTTCATTATCTAAGTTAAAACATAACATCGCTTAATTATTTTAGTATTAGTTAAAGGTAGGCCATGATTTTCATTATTTAAGGCGATATTTTAGTTATTAATTATGAAAAGTAACCAATAATATGAAAGGATTATTAATTGTGAATATCATTAAAAACGTTGACTAGGTATTTTGTATTAATTTAATTAGGTAGGTAACTTAAAAACTAAAATAACTAAATGTAATATTAAACAAATAAAGTTTTATAATAAGTATTTAAAGTTAGCACCTGCTAGTTCTAAACATTTACGAATCCTTTTTATTAAGTTATGTCGTGTAATTCTGGAAATATGGTCGGGTGTTAGAGAACTAAAAGCAAGTAAGACTCGCTGCATCTTATATTCCTTTATCGTAAGTTAAAATATCAATGAATTGGACATATGGAGTTAACGAGCAAGCGCTTGTTGTTTATGGGTTACAATTTCTTGGCGAACTGGATGGAATTCGATCTAAAACTTTTATCTTAAAAATATTATTCAACGCGGTATCAAACAGGGAATACCACAGATTTTTTGGATCTATATCGTTATAACTGTTTCCCTAAAGAAAGATGGTGGCAGTTTAAATCGCCTTCTATTAAAAAAGTTTACTTTAATTATCAAACAACATTTTATTGGTATTCTAAATATGTTAAAAATATAATGTTCCTAAGTATTTTTGAATAAACAAAATAGTCGATTTTGTGTCTTAGTAAAGATCATGGGTGATGTTTACAGTATCAAACGGAGGTCCTCTGAAAGTCGCAAGAATCTTTTCTTGTATTTTTATATTGCAATAACAAATCTTGTTATTTTAAGCATAATACATACCTTAAATTTATTTTTTATTTCAGGGTTATTCCTGTGTAGATTTTCTCAGCGCTGGAATGAGAAATTCCGGGATCTACTACCTTCAAATTCGGGGAACCACGTACTGGTTTTTGAAAGTATTTTGCGAACAAGAAATCGCTGATGGCGGTTGGACGGTGAGTAAAAATTTAAGGTGTATTTTTGATGACCAAATAAAATAAATATTTGCATAAATATATCGTTAGGCCATAGACATGAAGGTAGCTGAAATGAAAAAGTCACGGTGGAAATTGGATAAAACTATAAGGGACACGATCAGGAACGCCGTGATTACGGAAAGAGCCGGTGTAACTACAGTCTCAAACAATAAAGACTGTAATGATTTGATGAAGGTCAAGTGTAGAAATAAGAACTATGTGGGACGAAGGGTAGGGCTATTAAAAGTTGAATGAAAGAGAGCTAGAGAAAAACTGACGAGAAAATAGAAGGACTGAGTGCTCGAGGACTTAAAAAAAAGGTTTTAATGAAGAAGATACGATGGACACAAATGTGTGGCGAAGAAAAGTACGAACTGACCTGAAAACAGAAAAAAAGAAAGAAGAAGATCTTAAATGCACCACACTGATTGTTTGAAACAGAAAACAGTTTGCTTCACCTTTAATAATGACCTTTTAAAGTAGACCAAATCACAACAAATATCCCTTATTTGCTATACATTTTCTTCTTATTTTAATCAGTAATTTATTTTATTCTAGATATTCTCAGGCTTGGCTTAAACACTTCGTATAAGGATAAAATTCTTTCCTCTCTCTAAATAATTCTTACATATGTGTGTACATACTTAATCGAACACACTAAATCTAATATTTAATTACAAAGTTGGGTATGTATTCTCATTAGCGGTTAGATAACTATGTTTATATAGCAAATATGTCACAGCAGGTACCTACATACTTTCACTTAGTTTAGATCGAGTGTCTTTGCTTTAAATTAAGCCAGTCAAAATGGGCAAAAAATGAATATTTTGAAAGTGACGAAAAATTGTCATAAAAAAATAAGAAAATTTGAAAAATTGAATCAAAGTTTAAAAGTCAAAAATATCGTTTTTTGCAATCACTTTTATTCTTTATGCTTTTATTTCGATACAGGATCGGCTTCTTTAATAATAGTTCTCTATAAAAGTGTCTACCTTAGGTCATACGAATATCTATTAATGCATTATTTTTTAGGTTTACTAAACTTAACCTACTCTCCCATTTAAGGATAGTTTTTGAATATTTGTTGTAGAAATAATGAAAGTATATAAGCACTAATTTGATATATAGATATTATATATATATATATATATATATATATATATATATATATATATATATATATATGTATATATATATAAAGGTAGAGGGTGGAGACTTCCCTGTAATTCCCGCTGAAGATATTGTCACGTCAGGAATAGCTCATGGATATCCCCAGCCTCCCATCCCCGGGGATAACATGCCTTAACCTAAAGCATTCCAATCTCCATCATTTCCTTCCTCCACTTCCAAACTAATTCACCAACACCCACTAGCCAAGGTTGGCGTTTTAATGGCTTAAAACATCAAAAGTTATTTTACACAAAAGACGAAACTACTGAACGACCCCCAGTATCCGGCTACTCCAACACCCCGAATCAAAGTAGCGGTTTAAAACAAGGTTGAAGCAGAGGATGCTAAGAATCTCCGAAAAAATATGCCTCTAATACTAAGAGAGACAAATGCATATTACTTCGTACAATGTTAAAAATTTTATATCGAACGAGAAAATGCTGAAACTGGAGGAAAAGCTGAAAACAATAAAATAGGACATCATTGGCCTCAATGAAATAAGACGAAGAGGAGAAGCACAAATTACACTTAATTCAAGACACTTATTTTATTTGAGAGTAGAAGAGGACAAATCAAACGGTGGAGTAGAATTCATTATACATGGAGCAAACAAGCTCACACAAAATATAGTAAAAATTAACAGCATAAGCCCAAGGATTGTATACATGATCTTCAAACTAAATGCAAGATATAACATCAAGACCTAGAAACAGCATTATATGTTACAGCTGCATATTATACAATAATTATGGGCGACTTTAATGCAAAAATGCGCTTTAAACAAGATGATGAAGAAGTAGCAATAGGCAAGTATGGATATGGAGAAAAAATGAACTAGGTCAAAGATTGCTGAACTTCTTACACCAGGAAAATTTTTCCATGCTGAACTCTTTTTCGATTAAAAGTCTCGGCATAAATGGACATAGATAAGCCAGATGGTAGTGTCAAAAATAAAATGATAAAATTTTAACGGAATAGCAGAAAAAATAATCAAAGACATCGAAGTACTCAACAAATTTTCAATAGGAAGCGACCACAGAATAATTCGAGCAATACGATTAAATGTCAAATTGAAAATAAACCAAGATGATCCTAAACACACGGAAAAAATTAATTCCCCCAGAAAACAACGACCTCTATGAAGATACACTAACCAGACATATACAAGGCTTGGAAGATGAAATTAAAGATATAAAACAAGCAATTGATGCCAAATGGAGTGCTGCTCTACCGTTATGATCCATAAATAAAAACTAATCTAAAATATCAAGGAGCTAATAGGTAAAAGAAGACAACTGACGGAAAAATACGATTATAACCAAATTAAAGATATCCACCGATCAATTGAAAATATGTAGGAAAAAACAGTATAAAGAAAAATAACTAAAATAATTCAAAAAAACAAAAGTTTAAACGTTTTGAGGCGAAATACGAACAGTCGAAAAAGATAGGTGACAAAAATATGTATAAAATGATAAACAAAGATGGAAACATTATTAAGGATAGAACCGATATCCAAGATGCCCAAAATCACAAACCAGAGATCAGAATTAATACCAGAAATAACACCATACGAGGTCAAGAAAGCACTTGTAATATCAATTAGTAATCAAGGCAATCAAACTAGGTGGAAATAAAATTATCCAGGGTTTCGCCAAACTTTTCATCGAATGCATCTACCAAGGAAAAACCCCTACTCAATGGAACAATGCAGTGATTGTTTTATTACACAAGTAAATAGATATAACAGATCTAAAAAAAAATTATTAAAAAGAGACAGTACTAAGTTAGACTTTTATCAGACTAGAGAATAAGCTGGATTTAGACCAGGATATAGCACTAACGATCAGTTACTTCGTTACTAGTGATAGTAAACCTGATAAAGTAGTCAGCAGAATACAACAAACTATTGGCACTGATATTCGTGGACTGTGAGAAAGCATTCCATACCATAAGTTAGCAGAAAATGTTAAGAACATTGACACAATGACAAATAGACCATCGCTACAGTGACATAATCAAATATATCTACCAAAATGCCACAGCAAGCTTAAGACTATCTGAACAAGAAACCAATAAGTTCTGTAACAGCGAGGAGTACGGCAAGAAGACTGTCGACAGCTATTCACAATGATTTTAGAACATACTTGTAAGAATGAAGATCTGAACGAGTATGGTTCCACATAAATGGAATATAAAAAGAAAGTAAATTAACGAAGAATCATTCTAACTAGTAAAACGAAGTAGATTATATAAAAATTAAAGTAAATAAAAAGACGCCATCTTTTTTTGGATAACTAAATGAGAGATGGGGAAAATTTGGAGGATCCTAGATGTTTAAGGAGTTGTTAAACAGAAATTAAAAAATGTAAAAAATAAGATATATAGGTTTAACCTTTTTCTAAACCATTATATAACCAAAGGAAAATAAACAATTACACTTACCTTATATAATTTTGTAGAAAACTTAAAATTAAAATTATTTATTCATTATCCAAGATAACTCCTGTGAGTGCCCGGCACGGCTTGAGCTGGACTCCTACACTGAGGAGCAATAGTGTTCGACATTGTATTTTTAAAACTCATACTCTGGTTGGAAAATTAAGATAATTATTTTAAATTTCTGTGGGATGGACAAGGAAGAGTGAAATAAAAAAAAATATAACAACCGCGTTCCTACAAGGCATCTGACAGTATAAATATAAAATTAGATTATGCTTATCCTTGTTCAAAAATCTAAAACGCAATTCCAAATTATTAAATAAAAACCTTATGAATGTTTGTATGATACAAACCAACAGTCAATAATGACCCCTAAAACTCAATAATGCAGTAACAAAGAAGAGTGGTATTTTTGCTTGTAAAATAAGGATATTGGGTAGGAAAGATGTCTAGGATGTTCGATAACGGAAAATTTGAATCCCAAAACAAAAAAATTAGCAGAATAGAAAACGCAAGAAGTGCATTTCTCGAGATGAAACATTTGCCACTCTATCCTTCAAAATGAGATACAATTTTGTAAATAAATAAATGGTTTTGCTAAAAACCATTATGTTGACTACGAGGTCACATATTCCCCACATGGGATCTCGTACACTTCCTGTTTTTCTGACGATATTTTTGTTTTGGCTGATGGTAAAATAGTTGAGATTTTTCTGTCGGAATTAAATATCTTTTCTATTTTGTGTTTTCTTTGCACTCTTAACACCTATTTTCTCTGTTGTACCTTTTACATATGGTAGAATGTCTTTTACAATCGGTTTTACGTCTTCAGTTGGGTCCTTAATTCTTTCTTGGGCATTATGAGCCTTTGTAACCGAAGAATTAATAAAAATAACATCGAAATGCCAATAAAAGGCTAGAAAAAGCGTCGTCCCTTGCACAACATGTCTCAAACACAGGACATACAATAAATCTTAACCAAACTACAATGCTAGCTAACATTGAAATTAAAAGACAACGTGACATCAGAGAATGAATAGAAATGGAATCCCAACAGTCTAAACCAAAGACATGAAGCTCAAAGGCTTCCAATCTGCTGATGATGTTATGAAAAATGGTATTAAAGAAAAAATCAAAAATAAATCAGACAGCAAGACCGATTAGGTCTACAGGACCAATCACAAGAAGTTTTGCCAAGGATTGTTCGAGAGAAGAGCGCCTGGATCGACTGTATAACTAACCGAAACGACCAAGAGAGTCAGTTTACTTCAAGCACCAACAAGAAGCGTTACTACCTGACTTGACAATGTCAAGTGCGATCTTGCCGAAACGTCGTCAAAATAATGGTTTTTATGAAAACCAAACTT